GACTGTGCCATAGCTCCTATCTCTACCCCTCAGGGCAGGGCTGGGGCCTGCACACTGCATGACAGTCTTCATGAAGGGCACAGTACAGGACTCCAGCCCGGTCACTGTGCTTCGCCCGCAGCACACTCAGGCTAACATTTCACTGAGGTGAGGACTCAGGGACCACAGCGAGAACACCAGAGAAATGTCTGCACTGACCTTTCCTTCTCCCATGATTCTCCTGCTCTGGCTTGGCACAAGTCCTAGGCTGGGCCTGGAAACCCCACCAGTACCACAGTGGCTCAAAACAAAAGCTCAAAAGGGCTTAAAAACCCCTTTCTAAAGGGCCCAGGGAAGACAGAGCCACAAGCAGCAACAATAGGACTTCAGCCTTCACCTGAGGAACAATCTCAGACAGACAGGGTGCTCTGAGGAAGGGCAGGCAATGCGTCTCTCCGGGAAGAACAGGGCTCAAGTTTCTATCCTTCCTGCCTTTGTGTAGGTCTAGGTAGAACTGCTGATTCTTTCTGCGGTTGCTCATGCTGATTCCCTGCATGAGCATCTTCCCTGAGCAGTGGATCTGGTCACGTGTGAGACACAATGACCTTCTACCCAATATCAGACCAAAACTCGGTCCCCTGACACTCAGCTTTGTACTCACTCAGCCCCCAGACACATGGTTTAGGCAGGAGCCCCTTCACCTTCAATCTTCTATTTCCAAGGCCATCTTTATCCAGAAGTGAGAGGGAACCACAGCCATGCCTGAGAGAATTCTTACCTCTAGGAGTAGTTGTGGGAGTGGTGGTAGGCCATACAGCTGCAAATGCAAACAAGAAGGAATGTCCAAAATTAACTCAAAGGAAAAGCATAGGAACATAAAATTCCTGCCTACACAGAACACGTAACAACTCTCACTGACCCTGCAGTATCTTCGCAAGGCTGCTGCTTTGAGCCACCCATAAACAAGGGTTTGCTGGAAGATCTCCTCAGTATTGTGTGTGGTGCTCTACTAGCAAACATCTGTCTACACACTGCTGGCCACTAGGTGCCCTAGCACATCGGAAAGCATCACTGCCCATACTCTGATTCCAGGGCACAAGGGATTAAAGAGAGCAGGGATGGGCCGGGAATAAAGCAAGAAGTTCTACTTATTAATAAGAAACTTTGTCTCCCTCAACCTCCATGGCAGCACCTGTGTCCAGACAGCACAACAGCTGGCTCTGCACAGTCCAAGGGGCTTTCTAAACCTGAAACACTAAGGACTCTCTCCTGTACTTACTTTCAGCAGAAGTTACACCCAATTATAGAAGATGCCTGATTATCAGAGTGGTCAGAGCAGCTGAAGAAGGACCAAAGCTTATTGAATGGTGAACAGATCTCTTGAATTCCAAGAGGTACTAGCGGGTTCACTTTAAAAGAAATCCATGAAAACTCAGATGAGTGAATCAGAGAAAGGTGGCTGTGAAGGCTAACTCCAAGCAAGAACCACTCTCCTGGTGTCACGCCAACAAAGAAGGAGAATAACAAGTCCCATGGCATTTGGCAGGATTAAAAGTAGGCTTTAAGAGGATAAGCAGAATGGGCCCGCCAGAGAGCTCAGCAGATTAAAATGCCTGCTTAGGCAGATACAGAGTCCAGGGTTTCAATCCTGGGCCTGCTGTACAGGCCCCAGAGCTGGGCCATGCTGAGAGGGTAATTGACACTGGGCATGGTGTTGAGTATGGTAATCCCAGCAGTTGGGAGGCTGGAAAACAGGAAGGATGACTTCAAGCCCAGTCTGTATCGTGAGACCTTATAGATGTTGCACTAAATACATGAAAAGAAAAAGAAGAAGACAAGCAGAGGATGAGGGACACCCAAAATCCACACACCACAACTCACCTGGGATGAGACTGGATGGAGTTGGGGCAGCTGTGGGAAAGAGAAGGAAGATTAGATGCAAAGCACACAAGGGACAAGAGGCCTGCTGTGTCTCCACAAGGAACAGGCACTCTGCGCATGCCTCTGGCTGCATGCTGGCTGAATCCACCCTCTATTTCTCATGTCTCAGGGAGCTCTGTCTGGTCCCCACACGGGTGGCCCACACCAAAGTTTCCTTCAGCTCACTCCCCTCTTGTCCAGGTAAGAAATCAAGGCCATGCCTCAGCTGCCCTTGCAAGCACACGGGAAAGCAGGTATAACCTATGCTAGGCACTCAGCTGGTGGACAAACAAGCGATCTGCCCTCACGCTAACAATTCCAATATCCTACTCTACTCCTGCAGACCACTCTTGCGGGGATGCTGCAGAGTGCTTGGGCACAGCTGTCCCACTGCTAACCTCTCACTGCCTTTCTGTCATGCCTACTCCTTCCCTTGCACCCCTGCTTCCCTGGGTGACAACAAGTGAAGCCTCTCTGCATGATCACTTTCAAGAGTCCCCACATGGCCATAGCATCAAGGAGAAAAGGAATGTGTAAACCACATCCCCAAGGGGCTATGCCTCTGAAGAAGACTTGGAAGCTGCAGAGATGGGAAGAGCTCCCAACAGCTCATGTGATCCCAGAGCAATGTAGGATGCCTACAATTCCTGCTCTCTGGTGGGCAGATCTGTAGACTCTAAACGATAAAGCCCAGTAACCTCCAAACCACTGTTGGAGCCATATGTGTAGCAGGTCACTCCTGAGCTTGCTGTTTCTCTCACTACAAGGTCAATTGGGCTGCAGGCTGAGCTTCCACGAGGAGGCTTCGTGTTACCACACATGAAGGAGAAGCAGCACTGGGGGCCTGAGTGTGCTGGTGCTTCGTCTGACAACATCACAACCCCCCATGGAGCCCAGGGAAGACCACTGCCAAAGTGAGGTTCTGAATGCTGAGCCAGGTGTCCTGGTGGAAGCCCTTTTGGGGGAAGGTTGGGGTGTTGCATGACCTCACCTGAGCAAATGACTCCAGCGTCCTCTTGGTGCCCACAGTTGTGGGAGAGCCACCCACGGTGGTGACAATTCCACAGGTAGGATTCATGACCTGAGCAGGCCACGTCATCCAGGACAATCGGTCCGGAACCTGAACCAAAACGGGCACTTCCCGGAGCAGATAC